AGGGGCAGGGTCGGCAGATACAGCCTCCATGAACTTCCTGCTGGGGCTGAATGGTGGGGAGATAGGCGACTCGGGCTTGTGAGTGGCAGGGTCACTCACAAGTGACTCCCTGTGTGACCTTGGACATGCCGTCTCCCCTCGGTTCAGTAATTTCCTATTTGCGAAGAGTTTGTTTAGGTGGTGTTTAAGTTTTTCCCCAGATTAAAACGAGCCGTGGCACAGAGGGAATACTGGGGTGTCGAAGAGCCAGTGGCCCTGCCCGCAGCTGGACTGGCGAGGGCAGGGCCTGACCCCGCACCCCCTCCTCTAGGCTGCGCGAGGGGCCGTGAGATCTGTTCCCCGGCTCCTGCTCCCTCGCTGCTGCACAGAAGCCACTGGAGGGCGCTGTGTCCTCACAGTTCTTGCCTAGCTGCCCTGTGACAGCCCAGGCGGGATGTCCCCTTGGGGCTGAAGCTGCTTCAGGGCCAGGGGCCGGTTCCTGGGGGGCCTCTGGACACAGCCAGGCCCACTCAAGCGGGCGGGTGGGAGAGGCCCGCGTCTGGCCCGTCCCCAGGCCCCCGAGGTGCGCGGGATGCAGGGTGCTCACCGTGGTGGCCGAGCTCCCCTTCCAGCTCCCCTTCCAGCTCCCATAGGCCTGCGGCTTTCCGTTGATTTTCTCTCCATGACAGAAAGATCGTGCGCTTTGCCTGGCTGGAGATAAACAGAACAAGGCTTAGTTTCACAGTTTCCCTCTCTTTCTCCTGCCCCTTCCCTTAGCTTGAGAAGGGCGGAGGGAACAGCGGGTAAATTCTGGAGTCTCCCAACCAGGAGGTCCTTGGAGTCCCCGAGCCACGGCACTGTGGCCCTGGGGGAAGCCCCAGAGGCCAGGTAGGTGAGACCTCTCGGGGCAGAGATGAGGCCACTGAGGCCCGGGGAGAGCGCCAGACCTGCCCCCGGGAGCCCACGGCCAGGGGCGGGTTGGGACCAGAATCTGCCTGCTCTCCTGGTCTCACACCGGCACATTTCGCCAAGTCACTTGCCACCCAGAGTGGGGTTAGTTCAGAAAACAGACAAGGAGAGAGGGATGGGACCGTGGAGGGGGCCGGGAGCTGCTGATCTTGCTCTTTGGAAGCTCTAGTGGGGAGTTGACTGTCTTCATCTGACGTCAGCCCCGGGGCAAAGAGTGGCCACAGAAAGCAAATATTATGAGAGTAAATGTGTCAACACGGAGCTGGTGGCAGTTTCAGTGTCAGAAATGGGCCGACTCCAGGCTCTACCAGCCCAGCCCTCTGCCCCTGCCTCTTACCAAATGCTGGGGAGGCAGGACCTGCCTGCAAAGATGGGGGCAGGTCCCCCTGAAAAGCTGCAAGAGCTGGGAAGTGGCTTGCCCAGGCCTGAAGGAGGGCACCCAGGGATGCGGAAAGGAAAGAGCGTGGTCAGCTACCAGTGCCAGGCCTGACCGGGCATTTCACAGAGACCCTCGTTTAATCTTCCCAGTAGCCCTGGGGGACAGGCATTGTTGTCCCCATTTTGTAGGCGAGGACGCTGAGGCTCAGAGAGGTTAAGTAACTTGCCCACGGTCACACAGATAAGAAGTGGTGGAGCCCAGATTTGATCCTAGGTCTGTCTATCCCAGGGGGCTTCCAAATCTGGACTAGGGGCCTCACTTGATCAGAAATACCAGGAACACTTGTTGAAAAGGGGATACCCAGGCTTCACCCCAGACCGAATGAATGGGCCTGGGAGCAGTACTTTTACCAAGCTCCCAAGGAAGGGGTGGAGGGCCCATGCTGCTAAGACCTGGGAATAATTGCTCAATAATAGGTGTTGGCCAACTTTTCCTGTAAACGGATAGATAATAAATATTTTAGACTTTCCAGGCTTTATAATCTCTGTCACAACTATTCAGCTCTGCTCTTGTAGTGTGAAAGAAGCCACAGACACTACTCATGCAAATGGGTGTGGCTGTGTTATAATAAAACTTTATTTACAAAAACAGGTGGTGGGCCAGTTTTGGCCCATGGTAGTTTGCCACCCTTTGCTTAGTCTGCAGCATGCAAAGTACCCTCGTAGCCTGTCTCTCTTACTGTTTCCCAGCTGCCGCAGGATGAGAGTATGATTATCTCCATTCTGCAGATGAGAAGACTGAGGCCCAAGGAGGTTAGACATCCAGGCCATACAGGGAGTGACTGGCCAAGCTAGGATTAGAACCGGGCCTCCTGATACCCAGTCCAGTGGTCCTGGAAAGTATGGAGCCTGCTAAGAATGCCTGGGCCACACGGATTGTCATTATTTAATAAATCTAACCACCATGCATTGAGCACTTACCAAGCGACAGGCAGAGTCATTACCTCACTTATATGCTACCCAGATGTGGAATGTCATTGTCCCTGTCACATGGGGCTGTCACAGCCTCCCTGGGAGGTAGGAAGGCATATGCAGTGTGTCAAAACCAGCTTATCTTGAGCGCCCCCCACACACACCTGATATGCTGCAGCTGCACACGGGGCGATGGAAGTTGCTGACAAGACGCGTTTGCCTTTCCATTCTTGAGCATGCGCGTGTACACACCCCACTCTCCAACATCAAACAGACACGTGGCCAGTTCAGTGGCCTCCTTGTCACAGGTAGGAGAACACAAAACTCAAAACCTATGTGAGATGCCCCCAATGAGATCAGGAACCAGGAGATTGCCTGGTGTGGGGGAAAGAATGTTGGACCTCCAGTTGGCCTAGATTCCACACCACACTCTGGCCCTGGTCTGCTGGGTGACCTTCGGTGTCACTGTCCTCATTTCTAAGTGAGGGTCGCTCCCTAATTTGTAAAATGGGTGGGAAATAGGCCTGCTCAGTTGTTTCAGCCATTTATTCATTCGCCCAGTCACTGACAATGTGTTAAGTACCTACTCTGTGCCAAGCACAACTAGATCATTTTCATTTGAAATGCCAAAGATTTGAGATTCAATCCTCCCTACTCCTGAATTGGAGATAGTAGATAAATGATAGGTCCTTTGGTTCAAGGATGTCTTGGGCTAGGATTTCTCTCTAGGTAAAAAGTTTCTCTCTCTCTCCTGCATAAAGGAAGTCTTGGCGAGAATGCAGAGCCAGCTCCACTCACCAGTCCATTCATTAATCCAACCTTCCATCCATCCAACCATCTTTCCTCTATTCACCTATCTTTGCATTCCTCTATCCAATCATCCATATATATATATATATATCTGCATCCATTTGTCCATCCAAATATTTGTTGAGCATGTGCTATGTGCCTGGTCCAGCACTGTGCCTGCTATCTCCCCAACTCCAGGAACTCCCCAGTAGTGCCCATAGCAACCTAGGGTTGGAGGCAGAGGTAATGGAAAACCTGGAATCTAGGTAGCAATAATTCTCCATTCTCAAAATCCAGGGACCTTCTGGAATGACTTCAGGCAATTTTAGGATGCACAGGGCCAGAGACCGACCTGCTTGGGTTGCACACACCTCCCCATGCAGACATGGTCTCTCCTCCTGGTTCTGCGCTGGTCTCCTCCATCGGAGAACACCTGAGGCCCAGCCCTGGGCCTGTGTGAACTGAGAATAATCCTATGTGAATGGGTAAACAAAATGTGGCATATCCATACAGTGGAATATTATTCAGCCATGAAAAGGAAGGAAGTACTGACACATGCTGCAACATAGATGAGCCTTGAAAATACTATGTTAAGAGAAAAAAATCCAGACACAAAAGGCCACACATTGCATGATTCCATTTACATGAAATATCCAGAAATGCAAATCCATAGAGACAAAAAGTGTATTGGTAGTTGCCAGGAACTGAGGGAAAGGAGGAATGGGGAATGACCGCTAATGAGAACAGGATTTCTTTTGGGGATGATGGAATGTCCTGGAATTAGAAAGTAGTGATGGTTGCACAACCTTGTGAATTTAATGAAAACCATTGAATTATATACTTTAACAGGGTGAATTTTATGGGATGTGAGTTATTTTAAAAGATTTAAAAGTTATTAGAAAACATTAAAATTTTTAAAACAATATTCCCACGTGTTATCACATAGCCTCCTCCCAACTTCTGGTGACACAGGGCAGGTAGTGTTGGTGCTGTTTTTCAGCTGAGATATCGGGAGCTCGGACCTGCATTGTTAACTAATTGCAGAGGGGGACGAGATGCAGGGTTGGACTCCCGGTCTAGCGTTCTTTCCTTCACATCATGCTGCCTGACAAGTAGATGGTGCCTCATGAGCCAACCCCCCAGCAAAGCCCACTTACCACTCAGTTCAGGAACCTCTGCAGGTCGGGACGGTGCTACGAGAGACTGCCGTGACAGCTAACGGCTGCGATTCAAGAGTGTCGCTCGGTGACAGCACAGGGGATCGGTGAGTGTTAACTTATTTCCTTCTCAATGACCCCTGTCACAGACCTTCTTTGTTAGCTCCAAAACCCTTTATCAGGAGCACCTTGCTAAGTCCTCGGGACTCCCCAGTGCACATGGACTGGTGGGAGGTTACACTGTCCCCACTATGGAAACCAAAGAAACGGTCAGGGGAACAGGCCTATAACTTCGGTTGAGCCACGAACACTGAGCAACTGATGTGGAGGCTCAGGGACCACTAGAGTCCTGGTCACCCTGGGAGCTGAAGCAGTGGGTTTCAGCGGCTCCCACTGCTCTGGTGTCTGCTCCCCTAACCCTCCATCATTCCTTGTTTTCTACTCACTTTCTAGGCCTGGTCTTCCAGCTTACTGTCCATTCCGTGTGTTCCCAATATCCTTCCGGTAAATTCCCTTTTGCGGTTGTGAGAGACAGAATCGGGCTCTGTTGCTTGCCACCATTCACTCTGACGAATGTACCTGGTGAGATAGACAGGAGCATCCGGGGCTGTTTGAATTAGTTGCTGGGCCCTGCACGACCTCGGGCTCATTAGCAGTGTCATTGCCCAGCCTGGGGCCTGCAAGATGGTAACATTTTATTATTTCCTTGCTTTTTCTTTTTTTCTTGTTTCTGTCTCTTTCCCCCCTTTCTTGAATGTTTCAGATTTTCACCGTATTGCACAAAAATTCGAAGGCTGCCACAGTCTGGCTGGGACACACTCAAATCGAAGGTACCTCTGGTGCCCAAACCCCTCACCACTCTCCAGAGTACCATAAGCTACGACCCACAGATCCCTCCCGCAGGGCTGGACTCTCAGGGAAGCTGGGCTGTGTGTTTCCCTGCTCCCCCATCCCAAATACAATACAGCCCCCTCATCGGCATTTCCCTGGGAACTCAGAGTGGCATTTCTAGTGTCTCTCTACCTCCATTTTTTGCCCTGATCCAGTTTTGAAGTCTGATCTACAAATTATCCTTTTACTTACCAACTCAACCTTTCCTCACCTGCAAGATGGATGTAATAAGAGTATCTCCTATCATTACTTTAGGCTGAAAGCAGACAGTGAGCAAGCAGAAGTTGCTTATCCCAAACAGAGCACATACTAAGTGCAAATAAATGGTGAGCATTGCTATTATCCTGCTGATGCTGGGGACACCACTCCCACTTGAAGAGCACCTACCTCTATGGCTGCAGGGAAGAACAGACAAGAAGTCACACCAGGTCAGGCAGGGAGAATGCTCGGTAAGGGGTATGTCAGCATTGATTCTGATTGCCATCATTCACCACCACCATCACCACCACCATCACCACCACCACCACCATCATCATCATCATCACCATCATCACCATCACCACCATCACCACCACCATCATCACCATCATCACCATCACCACCATCATCATCACCGCCATCATCACCATCATCACCATCACCACCATCATCACCATCATCATCACACCACCATCATCACCAGCACCACCATCATCATCACCATCACCACCATCATCATCACACCACCATCATCATCATCACCACCACCATCATCTTCATAGGACTAATTTCCAACTTAAATTAGATCATGTACTTATTTGCTTGTTTAATGTTTCTATCTCCCACTTGATTATAAGCTCAGCTGTGGAGACTTTGTCTTGTTCACCACTGTATACCTGGCACATAGTTGGTGCTTAATAAAATTTTGTCTGATGACTGAGTAGATGACGCTCCGCCTTGGCTGGACTAAGAGAATGTATTCATGGGACCCTTCGCACAGTGAATGTTTGTCAAATGAATTAACATGAGATTGCTCTGTTTGCTTTTTTGACTGTCAGCTCCTTAAGGGCAGACCCATAGCTTGTGCCTCTTGGTGTTTCTCAAGATCCTTTCTTTAAATAAGCTGTGTGACCTTGCTCAATTCACATAACCTCTCTGGGCTTCCATTTCTTCATCTGTAAAATGGGACCCATGCCATAGGGTTGTTGGGAGGATTAAATGAGTTAATATAGGTAAGCCTCTTAGAACAGTGCCTGGCACAGATAAGTGCTCATTGAACATTAGCTTGATTCAAAAGCTCTAAGAAAGGGGACTGAGTAGACACTGAGTTACCTTGAGCTGAGCCCGGAGAAGCCTGTTCATATTGCCCTTTGCTTTTCCCATCCTAGGAGCTGGAGAATTGTCTGATACAATGAACTGAACTGAAATTAGAAACCACATTATGCCGTCAACTCATGCTGAGTCTGTGGTCAGCTAAACCTCAGAGCCTTTCTTCACAGCCTTATTGCTCAGCCAGTGATCCCTCATCCTGTATTTGTGGGTTTTCACTTTATTTTTTGTGGTCTTTCTGCTTTTTTTTCTGTTCCGGATTATAAAAGTAATATATGCCCACTGTGGAAAGTTTGTAATGAGCATAAAATTACAAAGGGCAGGAAAAGAGCAGGTTACAAATCAGCATGAATGGTTTGAATCCACTTGCATAAAGTGTTTTTATATGTTTATGAAGAGCGGCAGAGATGGACGGGCACAGAGAGGGAATGGGAGGGATGCTTGGAAAGGTGGTGGCTGAAGTGCCCCCGGGGGCTGGGTTTGCGTCACTTTTATACGCTCCCTGATATTTTTTCCTTATAAGAACAAACCTGCATTAGCTTTTCAAAACTAAGTTTTTAAATAATTATTATTTAAAAATGGAAATCAGCTGATTCAGCCCCCCTGCTTAAAACTCTTTGCGGGCTCTCCATTCATTTACGAAGGATTCTTTGAGCGGGTCCCGAGTGCCGGGCTGGCCGTGTCCCCCCCTTGCTGCGGCCCTCGCAGCTCCATCATGTCTCGGGGTGTCGCCTCTATGGGCCTGGGCTGCCCGCCTATTTGCCGCCCTGGTGGAATGTGGCCTACCTGAAGGCAGAGCTCCGCAGGGCGCACAGCTTCTCCCCACTGCCCCAAACGATGCCTGGCAGGGGCAGGCACGCAACAAATATCTATGGAATGAGTGAATGAATAAATAAATAAATGAATATTTAAAAGCAAATATGAAGAAGAGGAAATCTCTCACAATTCCACCACCTAGAGGTTATTGTTAGCGCCCTGGTGTGTTTCCTTCCAAACTTTTTTTCTATTTTACGAATAAATATAGTTGAAAACACATTTTCATCTTCCTCCTTTTAACCCAGCATAACAGCATAAGCATTTCCCATGGTATTAAGAAATGTGATTTTTCTTGAATGTACAGCAGGGGCTCTCCACCCAAGGTGATTTGCCCCCTAGGGGGCATTTGACAATGTCTAGAGACATTTCTGGTTGTCACAGCAGGGAGAGTGGGGAGAGGCATTGCTGCTGGTTGCTAACATCCTACAATGCACAAGACAGTCCCCACAGCAAAGGATTGTCCAGCCCCAAATGCTGATGGTGCCAAGGCTGAGAACCCTGCTGCCTAGGGGTCCGTCACGCGGATCTACAAGACTTGACTGATCCACCCCTTCCTGTTGCAAATGAAGTTGTTTCTAGTTTTTTGACTGGTACAAATAAGGTCGTGAAAGAGTTTCAGACATAAACCTCTGCCCACCTTCCACATCTCCTTAGGATAAGTTGCGATGCTTGATTTTCTGGAATTTAAGGGAAGGACGATGTTGACCTGGCTTGAACTTCATTTTCTCGATTTCAGCTGGATAGTTCTGCCGCTCTGGGTATTCTGTCTTCTGCCACATTTGTGGTCTCTCCCAGATGTGAGTCATGTCAAAGAAAATACCCAGACTTTCATGGCCCGGGTGCTTTCTGTGACAAGGGCTACCCCAGCAGCACCTCACCTGTGTTAGTTGCTCAGGCTGTTACAACAAATTGCCTTAGACTAGGTGCTTAAACAATAAGCATTTATGTCTCACAGTTCTGGAGGCTGGAAATTCCAAGATCTTGATACAGACAGATCCAGTGTCTGGTGAGGGCCCTCTCTCTGGTTTGCAGACGGCTGCCTTCTTGTTGTATCCTCACATGGTGAAGAGAGCGGGTTCTAATCTCTCTCTCTTCCTAGAAGGGCACTAATACCATCAAAGGGCCCCACCATCATGGCCTCATCTAAACCTGATCACTGCCCAAAGGCCCCACCTCCTAATCCCGTTTCACTGGGGGTTCTGGTTTCAACATATGAATTGGGCGGAAGGAGGCTCAAACATGCAGCCCATAGCATCACCTGTCCACGATGTCAGACCTTCATTTGGGAAGAGCCTGGTTAATCATGACCTATAAATAACATCTGTCATGGGAGCAGAAGGGCGGAGTCGAAGCAAGAAAGGTGTTACTTGCCAGCCCTGATTTAGGCCAACAAAACCACTATCGTTCAAGAATGTTTGGACACCTCTTTGGGAGTGGCTTTGGGGTATACAATGCTTTCCTTCAATATGAACATCGTCCAGGTGGGCAGTGTTGCTATGTGTGCAAATGCAGCCTCTGTGAAATAGAACATTCATTCAACAAATATTTGCTGAGCCCCTGCTATGCACCAGGCACTCTTCCAGGCACTAAGGACACAGAGATGAAACAAGACAGAGAGAGAGCCTCTGTCCTCATAAAACCTACATTCTAGAGGGGACACTATCACATAAACAAATTATATAAAATACAATGTCAGGGAGTGATTGGTGCTTGAAAGAAAAATACAGCAGGGACAGAGACAGAGAGTGGCAGGACGAGAAATGCTATCTTAGATGCGATAGTCAGAGATGGGCTCTCTGAGGAGGAGATATTTTAAAGCGATCTGAATTAAGAGAATGGGTAAGCCCTGGGAATATCTGAGGGAATAGCAAGTGCAAAGGCCCTGGGGCAGGCATGTGCTGGGCAAGTGCGAGGAGCAGCAAAGAGGCTGGTGTGTGTCTGGTATGAAATGAGCGAAGGGGAGAGTGGTAGAACATGAGGTTAGAGTTACAAGCAGTGGCCAGGTTGAATAGGGACTGGTAGGCCACTGTGAGGACCTGAAGTTGTAGTCCCTTGGAAGGTTTAAGCAGGGTAGGAAAGAGATCTGATGTCCATTTAAAAAGATCCCCTTGGCTGCTTCATGGAAGAGGGACCATAGGAGACAAGAGTGTAAGTGGGGAGTCCAGGGAGAGTCTGTTGTAATAATGCAGGTGAGAGATGACGGTGGCCTGGGTCAGGGAGGTAATGATATAGATAGACGGTGAGAAGCGGCCAGAAGCCAGGTGTATTTTAAAGGCAGAGCTGGTGGGTGGGCTGATGGTTGCCTGGTGGGGAGGCATGAGAGAAAGAGGAATTGAAAGTGACTAGCAACTGGGAGTCGAGAGGGAGCTCTTGGAGCTACGAGAGTTCTCTGTTGGGATCTGTTTCCGTGACATACCCACATGCGACGGAGCGGGGACAGCCAGCCAACCCTGGACAGTTGGATGCTGATCAGCTGGCAAGGCTCTAGGGTGTTTTTTCCCTGACCTTGGGCTTTTTTTTACTCTTAATTTGGTGCCTTGGGACCAGCTCCCCCAGCCCAGCCTCACGGAGGAGTCGTGCCTTCCAGCCAGTGGACTGTCAGGACAGAGCCTGGCGGCTGCCCCCAGCCAAGAAAGTGGTGTGAGCCGCTCCTTGCCTGCCCCCCTGGCGGGACAGAGCATGCACCCCTGATGACAGCTAAGACACCTCAGTCCCCGGCTCCCAGGAAAGCTGCTGCCCTCCTGGCCTTCCACACGCGGCTTGGCTATGTCGTCTCAGTCAGGCTGGCCTGCAAAATAGAGAATAAATTAGCACTTCCGTGAAGGGGGAAAAGTCTGCTTTTACTGTTTGGTGATGAAATGAAGTATGGAAAAATGTTTGTTTTGGTGATGGGCTGGGGGGAGAGGGTGGGCTGGGCATCCAGGGACATGAATAGGACAGGCAGGAGGAGCTGCTGGCAGGAGCTGCCTTCCACCCGGCCCAGGGAAGGGGTCCTAGTGGTGGCATCTATGCTGGAGGTCGCCGAAGGTCTCTCCCTGCTTCCGGAGGCTTGGCTTTAGGAAGTGGCCACTGCATTGGGTTGGATGGAGCTGGATTCTAGCCCCAGGTCGATGTGGCCGCATGGCTTAGGGGAAGCCCTCCACCCTCTCTGGGCCTCAGTTTCCACATCTGCTAATGGAGCTGGTCACAGTGGCCTCTCAGAGCCTCCCTCGTTGCTACTGTCTGGAATCCCCTTGACTTCGGGCAACTGAAGCTGTCCCTGAGGTTATTTCTGACACCATCACCAAATGCAGGGGTGGGAAGCGACGTGCCCAATATTTCAAGAGAGGGCAGTGGCTCACTCTAAATATCCTAAGTGCTAGTGGGGGAAGTTCGTGCCACAGGCACCGCCTCTTCTACCTGGGAGGAGGTTGAGGCGAACTTAACTTGTCAAAGCCAGCTGGCTGGGAGCTCGAGCCGGAGGGGGCCGGGTGGGTAGGGAGGTGGCAGCGGTGTGGGGGAGTGTGGGGACTCCAGAGGGGGCGGGCTGACCCTGAGGGTGCGTGTGTGTGTGTGTGTTGGGTGGGGTGGGGGCTCACTGCCTTCTGTTATGGGCTGCACTTGAAGGTCCTGATCCAAGGTGCAAGGAGGGCATTTAGCAGGCTCCAGCGTCAGATATGAAGGCTGAACCACGGATCAGTGCGGGCGGCCACCACCAGCGGCGGGTCCGGACTCAGCGCAAGGATGGGCAGCTGGGAGGCGAGGTCTGCATCCGTGTCCAGCGGGTGGTAGCAGGGCACTGCGGGTTTGTGCGTGGAAGCGGCAGCTCACAGCTGATCACAGCTCCCCCTGAGCTAACCTGGGCAGCTGCCTTCCTTCCCTGGGCTTCGTTTTCTCCCCTGTGAAAGCCCCACCTCGTAGAGCTGAGGCAAGGATTCAGTGAGACAGGGTGCCATGTGTCGGGGCACCTGGGCAGAGTTCACTACCAGCGGGTGTCATTTTCAGGAGGACGGGAGGCCCACCCAGAAGTCTCTGCCCCACCCCTGGTCTGAACAGAGTGAACTCGGGGGGATCCTACCTCTCCCAGCTGACACTGTGCCTTGAGCCAGGAGACAGAGCTATCGAGGCGGACGCTGGGTGTCTCAGGTGGTGCGGATTCCTGCCCACGTCCCAGATCCCCCACCAGCCCCTCCCCAGGCTTCAGCCAGCACAGAGAAGGCACACCAGTCCCAGGCCCGGCACAAGACTGGGGCTGCTGGCAGCCTCCCCCTCTGATGGCTTTCGGGGCCAGGCTCTTGCTCTGCTCCCACACACCCTGCCTTGTCCCAGAGGTCGCATCTGTCTGCAGGGCAGGCGTGCTCCTTTGCCTCCCCATCAGGTTCCAATATGACCAGCCCGTGACTCACAGCCCCAAGTGGAGTGCTTGGCACCCTCCAGCAGACAATGTCCCATTCCCAGGCGCTTAGAGGAGGCGATCAACGACAGGGTGTGCTTGGGGCCACCCACCCACCGAATTATCTCCTCTGTGGATGCCTGAAATTCCACCATTAATACTTCATTCTTCTGGAGGATATTACGGCCTTATCTCAGTTGCACTCTTTCGCTATAAGCCCCTTGGGGTGTATAACATACCTGAATATGAATGAGTGCGTCAAAACACTTCCCTTCCCGCGGGAGGGCTCCAAGTTCTTGGCTCCAAGTTCACCACTCTTCCCAATACCCAGCACTTTCAAGAGCCCCAATAAGCACGATCGAGCCCCTACTATGTGTTGCATCCTATGCCCAGTGCAGAGCTGAGGGAGACACGGTCTTGTCCTTGAGACACTTAGTAGGTTCCCCCTACGTTTGTTAGCGGGAGGCTTCACTCTCACACTCAATCTGGTGCATAGTAGGAGCTCACTAGATAATTGCAGAATGAGTGAATGCAGCTCGGCAGCTGCAGAAATAAGGCAGCACAGGGTCGGAAGCGTGAGCACAGGTCCGAAGGCCCCCCCCCGAGCTTGTCTTCTGGCTCTGCCGCTCCCCAGCTATGCGACCGTCTGCAAGTTTCTGCACCTTGCTCTGCCTCAGTCTCCTCGTTGATAAAATGGGGATGATACTGGTCGTTATGAGGATCCACTGAGTTCATCTTTCTTTGTAAAGTACTTAGAACATTTCCTGGCACGCGGTGCACACTATGTAAGTGTTTGTTAAATAACTGCAACTCAACAAACATTATTGAATACACATGGAAGCATTCGGTCATGCTCGCTGGCTGGTCCGAGGGCTGCACAGGGCAGGGGTGATGCTGTGCTTTTCTCCGCAGCCTCGGAGGCTGGCACGGGAAAGGCGGCAGCCAATGCTGGTTCCTGCACGGAGCCTGCCCTCCTGGACGCGTCCTTGCTTTTCCGAGCGGGAGCCGTGTGCCGGGGAGAGCTGGGAGCCACGGCGGGGCTGGTGCGTGTTGGCAGCCCTCCTGCTCAGAGATGCGGTCGTAAATCCAGTTGTCGTCAGGTCCCTCCAGCAGGGCTGTTTCTTCCTGCCTGTTTGGGCGCAGACAGAAACTGTCAATACAGAATCGATCTTTACAAGGCAGAAACTAACGTGTGGGGCGGTGGACGTGGTGTGGAGACCATCGGGGACAGCCCGTACTTCTCAGGACTCCCCGCCGCTCTGGGCGTGTGACCGGTGCTCGGGGAGCGCTCGTTAATGGTGCCCGAGCCTCATTTGGAACAGCCAGTCTCCCCGTGGCCGCCCCCATGCTAAGATGTGCCCCCAAGCCTTTGCTAGGGCTGGTCGCAACCCAGAGCATCTCAGTCTCTGTTCAGCGGCTTCCCTTCCATGCGCACAGCGCCCCGGCCCCCCCAAAACGCTGCTT